AGACAAGAATATCAATGTTTGGAAGGATAAGGTCAGAATTTTAATGTTTCGGAGGATAAGGTCAGAATTCCAGTGTTTTGAAGGATAGGGCCAACATTTCAATGTTTGAAAGGATAGGACCAGAATTCCAGTGTTTGAAAGGATAAGTCCAGAAATCCAAAGTTTAGAAGGATAAGGTCAGAATTCCAATGTTTGGAAGGATAAGGTCAGAATTCTAATGTTTGGAAGTCCAATGTTTGGAAGGATAAGGTAGAAACTTTAGTGTTAAAATAAAGGATCAAAATTGCAATTTTTGGAAGGATAGGGGAGAATTCCAATGTGAAGAAAGGATAAGAGCTAGAAATCCAAGGTTTATTAAAAAATAAAGAGACCGGAATTCTTACGTTTGGAAAAGGAAATAAAAATTATGTTTCAAAGGACACGGCTAGAATTCCAAGGCATACAGGGATAGGGGCACAATTCTAATGTTTGCAAGGATAACATAAGAATTCCAATGTTTCGAAGAATAAGATCAGAACTCCAGTGTTGAAAAGAATAAGAGCTAAGATACCAATGTTTGGAATAATAAGGGCTTGAATTCCAATGTTTAGAAGAATAAGATCAAAATTCCAGGGTTTGGAAGGTTAAGGTCAGAATTCCAGTGTTTGGAAGGACAAGAGCAGAATTCTAATGTTTGGAAGGATAAGGCCAGAATTGCAATGTTTGGAAGGATAGGGCCAAAATTCCAATGTTTGAAAGGATAAGACCAGAAATTAAATGTTAGAAGGACAAGGTCAGAATTCCAATGTTTGGAAGGAGAAGGCCAGAATTCCAGTGTTTGGAAGGATAAGGTCAGAATTCTAATGTTTGGAAGGATAAGATCAGAATTCCAATGTTTCGAAGGATAGGGCCAGAATTATAATCTTTAGAAGGATAAGAGCAAAATGTCAATGTTTGGAAGGATAAGGTAAGAATTCTATTCTTTTGAAGGATAAGGTAGAAACTCCAATGTTAAACAAATGGGACCAAATTTGCAATGTTTGGAAGGATAGAGGAGAATTCCAATGTTTGGAAGGATAAGATCTAGAAATCCAAAGTTTATAAAAAAAGAGACCAGAATTCCTATGTTTGGAAAAGGAAATAAAAGTTATAATGTTTCAAAGGACACGGCTAGAATTCCAAGGTGTACAGGGACAGGGGCACGATTCCAATGTTTGCAAGGATAACATAAGAATTCCAATGTTTCGAAGGATAAGATCAGAACTCCAGTGTTTAGAAGAATAAGAGCTAAGATACCAATGTTTGGAATAATAAGGGCTAGAATTCCAATGTTTGGAAGGATAAGATCAAAATTCCAGTGTTTCGAAGGATAAGGTCAGAATTCCCATGTTTGGAACGACAGGGCCAGAATTCCAATGTTTGGAAGGATAGTGCAAGAATTCCAATGTTTTGAAGGATAAGCTCAGAATTCCCATGTTCGGAAGGATAGGACCAGAATTCCCATGTTTGGAAGGATAAGGTCCAAATTCCAATGCTTGGAAGGATAAGGTCAGAATTCCAATTTTGGGAAGGAATAGGTCAGAATTCCAGTGTTTGGAAGGATAGGGCCAGAATTCTAATGTTTGGACGGATGAGACAAGATTTCCAACGTTTGGAAGGATAAGACTAGAATTTAATTGTTTGGAAGGATAAGGTCAGAATTCTAATGTTTGGAAGAATAACACCAGAATTTCAATGTTTGGAAGGATAGGGCCAGAATTCGAGAGTTTCGAAGGATAAGACCAGAATTCCAATGTTTGGAAGGAGAAGGTCAGAATTCTAATGTTTGGAAGGATGGGGCCAGAATTCCATTGTTTGGAAGGATAAGGCCAGAATTCCGATTTGAGGAAGGATAGGGGCATTATTGAAATGTTTAGAAGGATAAGATTAAAATTCCAATGTTTAAAACAACAAGGGCTAAAATTCCAATGTTTCGAAAGATTAAATAACAATTCGAGTGTTTATAAGGAAAGGGCTAGAATTCCAATGTTTAAAAGTAGAGGGCCAGAACTCCAATGTCTGGAAGGATAAAATAATAATTCCAATGTTTAAAAAACAAGAGTCAGCATTCCAATGTTTGCAAAGGATAGGGCCAGAATTACAATGTTGGGAAAAATAAGGTCGGAATTCCAATGTTTGGAAGGATAAAATCAAACTTCAATTTTTATAAAAATAGGGACAGAATTCCAATGTTTTCAAAGATAAGGGGGAGAAGTCCAATGTTTACATACAGTGGGGAAGAATATTAATGTATTGAAGGAAAAGGAACAGAACTCCAATATTCGGAAGTAAAGGGCGAGAATTCAATATTTCGACGGATAAGAGCTAGAAATCCAATGTTGATAAAAATGGGGACAGAATTCCAGTGTTTGAAAGGGTAATGTCTTGAAGTCCAATGTTTATAAAAATAGGGTCAGAATTCCAGTGTTTTGAAGGATATGATCAGAATTCCAATGTTTGTAAGTATAGGGCAAGAATTCCAATGTTTGAAAGGATAAAATAACAATTCCAATGTTTGTAAGGATAGCGCTAAAATTACAACGTTTGAAAGGATAAGGGCTAGAATTCCAATGTTTATAAAAATAGAACCAGAATTCCAGTGTGGAAGGATAAGGTCAGAATTCCGACGTTTAAAAGAATAAGGTTAGAATTGTAATATAGTATAGGGGCAGAATACCAACGTTTGGAAGGATAAAATAAAAATTCCAATGTTTATAAGGATAGGGCTAGGACAAAGTTTGGAAGGATAAGGGCTAGAATTTCAGTGTTTGGAAGTATAGAGCCAGACACCAATTGTTCGGAAGAATAAAATTAGAATTCCAATGTTTGGAAGAATAAGGTCAGAATTCCAATGTTTGTAAAAATAGGGCCAGAATTCCAATGTCTTGAAGGAGAAAAAGAAAATTCCAATGTTTATAAGGATAGGGCAAGACTTCCAATGAAAAGAAAGTATGGTCACTCACGAATTACGCCCAAGTACAAGCCCAGGATCCTGATATTGACCCAGTTGTAGATTGGCTGTCACTTATCGGCTGAAATGGAGGAAACCATCTGATAAGGAGCTGCAACCCATGAGTCGAGCAACAAGGGGAATCTAGGCACATTGGAAACTGTTAGAGCTACGAGAAGGAGTATGCTACCTGCAGTCAGCCGACGTAATGTGTTAGCTAAGAGGAGGAAGATTATTTTTACCTTGCGGGTTTGTTAAAAAAGCCCTAACTGAAGTTCATAATGACCCAGCAAGTGCCCATTAATGAAAGATAAAAACATTGAGAGAAACAAAAGCCAGGTTGTGGAGACCAAGGTTGACTGAAGCAGTGAATAGGGACCATAGAAGTTGTCTGATATGGACCAAGTGCAAGTCTAGACCAGAACCGAAGGGACACCTACAATTAATACCATCAAGGAACTACTCGGAGTTTGTCAGTGACCTTCAAGATAGGTTAGAAACTACATATCCTGATGTGAGGCAAAGTCTGCAAGTAGCTCAGTATCCGCAGAAAGATGTATACGATGAAGACATTAGACACACGGTCTTTCAAACTGGAGATTTAGTGCAGCTGAAACCAGGTAAATTGTAAATAATTATCTCATTATCCACTCCCCTCAGGGCTTTTCAGGGATAACTTACAACACTGGTTGGGGGACTTTGCCACACTGCTTAGGTGCAGTTTACACGTAATGAAGGAATGAGTAATGATGCCCCCATACATGAGTGTGAAAGTGAGATAGACCACTACGTGCCCTACTCTTTATGAAGAGTGTGTGGGTTCTTTAACGTCCCACAGATTTATGACATGTGCAAGGGCTTGTGAGACGGGGCCTACGGTTTATCATCCTTATCCGAGAAGACTAGAAAGTCTAACCATGAAGCAAACTAATTATATTGACAGTGGGATGAACCATTTTAAATAAAGGAGCATGTCATGGACATCACATATCCAGTAAAGAAAGTTAGGGGACATTCCAGAAGACCCCAAGTAGTTCACTTCAACATCTTGAAGTTTTACCAGGGAAGGCAGGAAGAAAGCATGAGGAACCGGCTTCTAAGGGGTCAGTGAATGTTCCTCATGGTGAGGGCAAGGACCATCAATGGGTACTACCAGGGTCGAGTAAGGTGGAGTCAGTGGAGCCTGGTATGTTGTTAAGTGGAGCAGAAAAAAAAAGTTGTTGACGTTGAGGCCAATTAGTAGTAGTGAGGTTGTGAACATGCCAGGCAAGAGTGACTATTGGTCCTGCCTTGCTGATATGGTTCTCGTCAGAGAATTCAAACACGGTGGTGAATGTGAACAGGAAGTAGGTATAGGGCCAGCATTATAATCTTTAGAAGGAGAAGACCAGAATGTCAATGTTTGGAAGGATAAGGTCAGAATTCCAATGTTTGGAAGGATAAGGTAGAAACTCCAAAGTTAAAAAAATGGGACCAAAATTGCAGTGTTTGGAAGGATAGGGGAGAAAGAGCTAGAAATCCAAGTTTATAAAAATAAGAGAGCAGAATTGTTATGTTTGGAAAAGGAAATAAAATGTTTCAAAGAACACGGCTAAAATTCCAAGGTGTACAGGGATAGGGGCACAATTCCAATGTTTGTAAAAGTAACATAAGAATTCCAATGTTTCGAAGGATAAGATCAGATAAGTTCTAGTCAGAGAATTCAAGCAGAGTGGTGAATGTGAGCAGCAAGTAGGTATATCAGATACGGAGGGAGGTGGACTTCCAAAGATGTTCAAAATGGTGAGACGAGCGGGAAGGGAAGAACAGAAGATGAACGTGAGGCAGAAGTTGAACAGAGAACTGGCCAGAGCCAAAGTAGTGTCCACTCTTTAATGAGACACACCTTTTGAGTTTATGTTTGGAAGACAAATAACATTACTTCTGAATGTGATGATGGGGCCGAAGGCAATGAGAAAAACTACGTACTGTGAATTTGTCAGTGACCCTCAAGATTCATTAGAGACTGCATATTGTGATGTGATGCAAAGTAGCTCAGTATTGGCAGAAAGATGTATCTGATAAGTGCCCGAGACCCATGGTGTTTGAAGCCGGAGAGCTCCTAGGGATGCTCCTCAAGGTAAGACCAAGGATCGTGAGTGGGTATTGCCAACATTTTTAGTGAGGTGGAGTCAGTGAAGCCTGTTACGGTGTTTAGTTGATCAGAATAGGTTATCAAGAATGGGGCCAATAATTAGCTGCCTGGCGAGGTCGTTAATGTGACATGCAACAGTATCAGTCCTGCCTTACTGATATGATTCCAGTCGGAGCACTTGAACCTTGTGGTGAATGTGATATTGGATATGGAGGGAAGTGAACTGCCGAAAGATTTTTAAAATTGTGAGATGAGCAGGGATGAGACAAGAGAAGAGGCCAAAGGTGATTATCAGAGCAGAAAAAGTAGTTTATTGAGGTTGGAGCCTATGATGAGCTCCCTCGCGAGGTTGTCAATTTACCAGGCAAGAGCAAATATCTGTCCTGCCTTCCTGATATGGTTCCAGGCGGAGAACTTGAACACGGTGCTGAATGTGATAAGGGAGTAAATGTATCGAACACAGAGGGAGGTGGACGTGCTGGAGATGTTCAAAATAGAGACCAGCGAGGAGGAGAGAACACAAGGCCAAAGAAGAACAGCCAACTGGTCAGAGCCAAAGACTGCAGATAGTGGGGTGGAATTGGTGGAAAATACCTACACAGAGGGGATATTCAGGGACTGGAAATCCACGATTATTTGCGGGGAAAGGTATTCATGAGTCAACCGCAGTCACTGGTGGAGGCTGCTTTTGTTTTTCGTCTATTAGAAAGTGCTCATAAATCTTATCAGGCAGTGGCATCTCTTGAAAGGAAAAAGTCTGCGAAAGCTGTAAGAGCTTCAGCAGAGAGTGAGACAATTTCGTATGAGATTCGAGAGCGTAAGGAACTTGAACTCTCTTTCACTGTATATAACAAGGAACAATGAGCAAGAGCCAAAAAAGGAATAAAATATCGACGATACAGTGATACAAAAGGGCCAAACAATGGTTCACAGCAGCTCAGAAGTAGAAGATACAACAATCAACAGCTACATAAATCAGGACGCTAACAGATGGTGATTAACACAGCTTTTAAATGACTGGGATCCTTATCACATAATCAATGGCCAGGCGTAAGTGGTCTTTCATTTGATCCCTCCTTTTCAGTTCTATGTTTTTTGTATATAGCAGGAAAAATTGAAGGGTGAGGGGTTACTGGCCTATCACCGCAAGAAACACATCTGAGCGATGTGGCAGGGATGTGCACTCTACATGGCCTGAACTGAAAGCATCCTGAGACTCATAACAGTTCGGGTAACTAGATGTAAGACAATTACCGCTTGGCCAAGGATCGGGTGGTCAGCGCATAGAATTGCATCCCCACTACCCATTAGTGTGAATGAAAAGTTCTCAGTGTAAGTGCAAAGATTCATTGGCCGGAATGAAAAGCTGAAACCACCCCAACCGGGCAGCACTGTAACAATGTGGTATGTTTAGCTTCCTGCAAACCTGGCAAGCTCACTTGAAATCGCCGTCAGAAACAAAGGGGAAACAGAGCTTTTATGGGCCAGCGGAGGGCCAAGCAGTTCATGTAATTCTTGAAGCAGTGGCCCAAGCATTAGGATTTGCCAATAACGAGGTAATGAACCCTGCTTTTGTTAATAACAAAGTACTGTCAGCAACATCAGACTCTTCAATCTATGTCACAGGAATTGTGAATCAGAGTGTGACTTGTATATTGCGACACACTTGTGCGACTGCCAGTGTTTTGAATGAGGGGACATGGAGGAAAATTGGATTTGTATCAAAACAGAAGCCAGTATTTGGGACGCTGACTACAGCAAACAGAAATGAACTAACCAAAGGTGATGAGAGGAAATACTGAATTTGTCAGTGACCTTCAGGATAGGTTAGGACCTGCATAACGTGATGTGAGGCAAAGTCTGCAAGTACCTCAGTATCGGCATGCATGCATCTGCCAGTGTCCGCTGGGGTGGAGTCAATGAAGCCTAGCACAGTGTTTAGTTGATCAGAAGAGGTTATCAAGGTTGAGGCCAAAGGTGATGAGAGGAAATACTGAATTTGTCAGTGACCTTCAGGATAGGTTAGGACCTGCATAACGTGATGTGAGGCAAAGTCTGCAAGTACCTCAGTATCGGCATGCATGCATCTGCCAGTGTCCGCTGGGGTGGAGTCAATGAAGCCTAGCACAGTGTATAGTTGATCAGAAGAGGTTATCAAGGTTGAGACCAATGATGAGCTTTCCGGCGAGGTTGTTAACATGTCAGGCAAGAGTGAATATCGGTCCTGCGCCTGCTGAAGGGCCAAGCAGTCACCGTGACTCTTAAAGCAGCATCAGCAATCGCCAATAATGATGGTTTTGTTAATAACAAAGTACTGTCAGCAACATCAGACTCTTCAATCTATGTCACAAGAATTCTGAATCATTGTGTGAATTGTATATTATAATATTGCTAGGCACTTGTACAACTGTTAGTGTCCAGTGACCTCAAACTTGGCTCATACTTTTTTTAGCACTAAATGTCAGACTCACTATGACCCTGGCACTTTTGTCGGAGATGATAATACACTGTACTAGTGGAACCCGCAACTGAACAAAATTAGAGAATGGATTTGAGCATCATACAGGTACTCTAGGGATCTTAATGAAGTAAAGTCAACTGAGAGGCAAATCTGAAATAAACTTAACCCATTCCTTAGTAAACCTAATACACGTAGATGGACTAACTCTTGTTTGAGTTCCTGACTTTGCAGACAGGCTCATTAGACTACGAGGACATCTTCCTGTCTCCGAATAATATCCTGACAGTAAGATGGTTTTGTCATTTTATTGGAACCAGACCCAAATTTAACCAGTGTCCCTTCCTCATCTTGTTCAGTTCAAAACAAACCAGTGGCGAAAAAGGAACAACCAAAGGAGGACAAGAAGGGGTTAATCAGAATTGCTAGGTGACCTTGAAGGGCTTTTGGATAACTAAAGAGGGTAGTTTTTGTCCCTGGTAACGGACTAAGAGGACATCTTTGCAATAGACAGCTCTGATTTACAAAATCCACCCCGGTGATTGCAAGCCAGTAAAACAGCCTTGTTATTGAATACCAACCTATAAGTGAGAAGTTAACGAACACCTTCAAGATAGGTTAGAAATTACATAATTATTGTGATGTGAGTCTGCAAGAAGCTCACAATCGGGAAAAAGAGGGCTACAAGTATAATAATGGTGTCAGACACATGGTGTTTCAAACTGGAGATTTAGTGCTAGCACTCCACAGCTGAGACCAGGTAAAGCAAACCACTTCCATTGACAGTGGGAGGGACCATTTGAAATGAAGGAGCACATCATGGACATCATGTGTCCAGTAAAGAAAGTCACGGAACATTCCAGAAGATCTTAAGTAGTTCATTTCAACAACCTACAATTGTGCTAGACAAGGCAGGAAGAAAGCATTGGGGAACGGGCTGATGGGTTTTCAGTGGATGCAAGGACTGTAAATGGATACTGCAAGCTTTGGGTGAGGTAGAGGCAATGGAGCCTGGTATGGTGAGAAGCCAAGCAAAGAGGAGGTTATATTAAGGTTGGGGCCAATGATGAGCTTCCCAGTGAGATTGTGAACATCGGTCTTGCCTTGCTGATACCGCTCTCGTCGAAAATTTTTAAGTTGGTGGTGAATGTGAGCAGGGAGTAGATAATTATATCAGATACAGAGGGAGGTGGACTTGCAAAAGATGTTCAAAATGGTGAGATGAGTGGGCAGCAGAGAACAGAAGACAAACGCAAGGCAGAAGTTAAACAGCCAACTGATGAGAGCCAAAGACCAGTACGCATAAGAAAACCTCCAAACCTTTATGGTGAATGGATTCTTAATGGTCTACAGCAAATGTTGGACTGCTTAAAAATGTTGGAGGAAAAGGAGTCCATAGAGACACTGAAACCAAAATAGCTGAAGAAGGCAAGCACACTGCAGGGAAACTGTTCATTCTTTCAGTGAGATAAACTTTCAAGAATTTTTGCTAACAGACTAAACTGATTGACTTCCTTTTGTTTTATTACTTGAAGTGACCATGAATCAGGAGACTCCTTTCTTAAGGGAGGGAATAGTTTAATGGCTCATCTTGTGCCTGATATATAGCATAGGATTTGGTTGGTAAAACACATGCATACATGTCTTTTCTGTAAAAGCTCAATGCTTGGTCTTTGTTTAATCCCATGTTCTCGGCTACCTACAAATAATAGAAAGCATTTGAGACCTCTGCTGTGCGACGTTTGGACTTCTGATGTTTGGAAAGATAAGAGCAGCATTCCGTTGAAAGGATCGGGTCACAATTCCAGTGTTTGGAGGAATAAGGTCACAATTCCAATGTTTCGAAGGAAAAGGTCAGAATTCCAATATTAATTTTGAAAAGATAAGGTCACAACTCAGGTGTTTGGAGGGATAAAGTCAATTAAATTGTTTGGAACAATAAGGTTAGAATTCCAAAGCGTGGAGGTGTAAGCTCAGTATTCCAATGTTTGGATGGAATAGGCCAGAATTTCAATGTTTGGAAGGATAAAATCAGAATTTTTGGAAGAAAGACATTCCAAATTCAAATGGTTGGAGCGATACCATTTAGGTTTCAAATGTTCGGAAGAATAACAATCGGAATTTAAATATTTTGTAAGGATGATTTTTGGAATTTCAATGCTTGGAAGGATGAAAAATTTGAAATGCAAATGTTTGAAAGGATGTCATTGTCAATTATAAAGTTTGAAGTAAAGAAATAAAGAACACAGATTTATGGCAGAGAGAATGAGGTTGAAAATTGAAATGTTTGGAAGGGTGGTCAAAAGTCAAATGTTTACAATTATTTTATTATTCTAAGTCATTACCTGAATGGTAAACTGCATTTGACTTTGTTCTGTTTCCCTCACCACTGTTGTGTTGTTTATGGAAGAGTGAAGACCGCCCTTGTAAGTTAAATATCCCTCTGTGTGTTCAAGTTACCGAGAAAGCACTGAGTGAAGTAATGAGAGAAAATATGTTAGTATCTAAAACTAATTTCAGCAGGTGCCACAGTCACAACTCTTTTCACAGGGACAATACTTGTCGCATGCAGTCACAAAAAATAATAATAGATTTAACAAAAATTAATAAGGATAAGTTTTTTTATTGTTGACAATTATCTATATTTTGTTAATGTTTGTAAACATTAACAAAAGATAAAAAAAAAAATACAAAATATAAAAAGACATAAAGACATAAATTATTATTGATTCCCACATTTTTTTCAATCCACTCCCCGTGAGGAAATTAATGAGTCATGAACTAGTCGTAGCTTGATTTCAAGAATTTCCCCCCAGCAAATGTTACCATGATATTATTACATTATTATCATACTAAATTATTATTATATTATATATGTATGTTCACTTACTGCCAATCATTCCAACGGACATCCACTTTCAATATCTTCAAATCGCAATTTGTCCTATGCAATAACTGTGAAGAGCAAAGGAGGGATTTATCACACAATAATTGCACAGCAATTATAAATATTATTAATCTGTTAAAGGTGCAATTTCCAGGCATTTGCTATTTATCTATAGAGCCAAAACTTGTTCTGCAACATTGAATTCAAAAATCAGTTATTTAACACTATATTTAGGCATTGAAACTATTTCAATGCGATGGATGGATATGGATTGGAACTTAAAAACAGTTAGCCCAACTTTTTCAAGTTTAATACTTTGTCTAAAAAATCCCCCCCATCTCCGCAAAAAAAATATGTATATGTTGTAGTTAATTTTTTATTTCAGTTAATTTTTATTTTTCCATTGTTTTGGGGTATGGTAATGTATGCTAATGAATTTAAAACAAAGGAAAAACAAAAATTAACTGAAATTAAAAATTAACTGCAACATATATATTATTATGGTTAGTGCCCCAGATAAAATTTGTTTCATATCTTCTTGACAACTCTACACGAGCATTAATTTTTGTGTATGGGTATTAAAAGGAGCTAAGTAATGACTTCAGCACAGAATGGACCTAAGATAGCAATATCTTTGTGACACAGGGGCTGTTTTCATGGAGGGAGGTAGATCCTCGAATGCAGAACAACTTTATGTTGGGTTTACATGCAGAAATTTCAGTCCAGGTTGTGCCCAAGTAGAGAACGTTCGAGAAGGAACCACAACCAAAACTGCGACTTCAGTCCTTCTGCTCTCTTAACTGGCATTAACAACCACCTTTCAGCAGAATTTTCACAATAATTAGCTTGTGGTAATGCCAAACAAAATGGTCAGCCTTTATTGCTGTGATTAGCCAGTGAATGGCCCCTCGCCACTTTTGTCTGGTTTGTCCCTAGTACTACATGTACAGTGTAAGATCTTCCTAACAAAGGCAGTTAACATGATGCTAGGATCTTTCTACCTCTCAGCTAAGAAGATCCTAGTACAAGGAAGATCCCAGCGCTAGGGACAAGTACAACCCTTTGCATGTAAACCAAAATACAGAAAACATATGGCAATAGGATGATCCACCTTCCCTCCATGTAAACAGCCCCACAAACTGTTAACAGTAATGATAAAATACATGTAGACTACCTTCTCTGTATAAGGTTTGAGAATACTCGCAGAGTTAGCATGGGACCATTTCAGCTTCAAATGCTGCCTAAAATGAAATTAATAGCAAAAACATCAAAAAAACTTTTACTATTTCAAATGAATCAATAACAAAGTTGGCTTTGGCATTGTAGCAAGAGTAATAAGGGAAGCTAAATTTTAAATGTATACCACATCAACCAGCGACCAGTGGTTTCTCCAGGCTGGACACTACACTACGAAGGGAGAGAAACCAATGCGAGCAGCCATCTAATTCTTTGATCAG